TTCATCGTGGTTTATTTATATCGTTGGGAATACTGCAATAAAAAGTAAATAACAGTTGCAATTAAAGATATATTAAATGAGTCACACTCGGTTTCTGAATTGAGAATTTAAAGTTAAGCTCATCTCAAACCGTTAACCATCTTAAATAGGCTATTATTATTTTTTTGTTGATAGCAGTTTGATAAATAGGGCTTTTGGCCATTTGAAACGTAAAAAACTTCTGTTATTAAGAATAATCCGTTTAGATTTTGTACTTTTCAAATTGCTTACATATTAAATAGAAGAACTAAAATTCGTTTATAATATCATATTATAATTGTATATTATCATATTATTTTCAGTTTTATTCAATGTTTATGGTTGTTGTAGTTTTCTGAATTATGTAAATGATTAAACATTTTCTTTATTGCACACAATAAACATTTACATAAACACAAATTACAAGTAACAGACGCAAAAGGCGGCATTATTGCTAAGGGAGCCATTTCTATCTGGCTACCCTTGGGTAAGAGGAACCACACCAATTCAGTAAAGCAAGTAGTGTATTAAAGAAAAAAGAATGAGTAAATACATGAATCCAGTTTGAGGAACAAGACATGTGACTTGACATGTTTGGCGAAGGACTTCTATGATGGTCTAATATTTACCGGCAGTGAGTTCCACAGTTTAATAGCTCTGATATAAAAGGACAGTGATACGATATAAAACGATATTGCGGAGTTTGAGGATTAAAAAGAATAGAATAAAGAAGCGATAGGGTGTGACAGTCTTTTCTACGAGAGATAGGTAGCCATTGAAGTTGGGTACGATAAACAGATATATGGTAATACTCGCGTAGACCAAAGATGAACCGGATACATAAATTCTGAAGACGCTCAAACTTATTTAGATGTATGGCACTTAGGGCAGAATAACAGGAATCAGCATAGTCAAATAGTGGGAAAAACAGGGTTTGCACAAGAGTGATATTTGTCATAGTCAGCAGGAGATTATTCAGCAGTTTGAGCAAGCTAAATAAAAATTTAGGCAAAGTTATTTTGAAAAGTAAAATAAATTAAAATAATAGAAAATCAATAAAATATTTTACAGCTGTGTTATGGATGGATGAGAAAGTCCCATATTAGTGCGCTGGGTGCAGTTGCATACTTTTTGTTGTCCTTTTACTTACTAATATTAAATTAAAGTTCTATTATTACCAACATTTACTATGGAGACATATCTCTGAAATATAGATTATTATTTTTATAAAAAGTTCTTCAATAAAGGTGGACCCCGCTCGTGTACCCTATACTTACTATTAGTATATTATAAGTCCACGCTGTTAAGTAAATGATAGTGCTAATGTACGAATGTAACCTTATTAGTAAGATATGTTTACCTCTCATTAGGATAATAATAGAAATTTATAGTAAAAGTGAAGGCAGACTGTACCCACGTATGGAACGTGCGGTCGCGCGCAAACGCCAAACGCCATACTTGTCTGCGTATGAGTATGCGGGTCACTCCCCGATATTTTTTTTTAATCTTAACGACACAGTTTTTATATATTACATGATCGTTACGTCTATGAGTATAGTTATGCGTTGTAATTTTAATTAAACTATATTATAATTGTGTTTTTTAATATTTTACAAAGGTGTGGGTTAAAAGCGTTAATTTCACTGTAGCTTTTTTTGTTATTACAGCTATGTAACTACAGCTTTAAATAGAATAATTTATCTACCTATGTCTCTTCCTAGGGCATGCCAAATAAAACTGCCATAAAATAATGCCACTAATTATTTCCTATGTCAGAGTACGGTCACTATGGTTAATTTAAAAATTGTCGCAGGAATAGATTTCAGCGATGGCTGACCCATGCGATATGCACGTTAATGGGAGATGACTCTGTTCTAGACTACTAATACTCTTGTTTATTTTAGTTTATATACATATCATTATATACATTCATAAGCATACGTTTATATGTATTTGAACCGTTTTAGGAATTATTTTATTTTTGTTATTTATGATACTGTGATGTAGAGTGACTCAAATATCTAATGAAGTATTTTGTCAATTCAACATTTCTGCATAAATATAACCCTTTCTCGATGTTACTTGTAACACAGACTGAATAATTAATTTTAAACTAGAGTGGGCTCTAAAAATCATCTACTGTATAGGAATACAAAACAAACAAAAAAATTTCATTAACTCTTAGTTTTAATTATATTTAAATTAAAAACTAAATAAAACACAAAATGGTCTTTTCAAATCCCTGTAAGATGATTTATTATGCATATTTTGTATGAACAATAAAAATCTTTCAGTCTACCTTCTCTCTGTCAAATCATCAATCTGTATCAACAACTAACATAAATAACAATATGATTGTCATTCTTGCTCTTATTTCTTTTGGATCTTGATATTAAGTTTCAAATTTAGTAATACAATGAATCTGTTACAAAATGTATCATATCGGATACCTTGACCTAGTGACATAGTGTAAGAAAAAATACGATTTCTTCCGGAAGTAAAAATATAAATTGTTATTTTGAAATTGCGTGCGCGGCGCGTGGTGTTATTGACCCTAGACAAAACAACTATGCGTTAAATTCACTTCCGGTATATATTTTTGTGAAGTTATTCGGGTTAAACTTCATCTGAACTTAAATAACGTTTGAAGTAGCTTTTGCCAGGTCTTCGCCTCCATATTTCGAGAAGTTTATTTACTACCGACTTTAAAAAAAGGAAGAGGTGCGCAATTCTACTGTTTTTTTTAATGTATGTAATATGCCACAATATCTGCATTAGGAGTAGACAGATATTGATGATATTATGCTTTGAAAGAGTATATTCTTAAAATATTCCCATTAGTCTGTGTGAATAATGCATCAATACCAATTTTTTTTTAAAAAGAAAGTTGTTATTTCTAAAAAGAATTATTTTAAAAATACCTAGTGAAAACATTAAAAAAATAATGCAGATAGTTAAAACATACATAATAAGAAATTATTCCAATTTTTCATTTACTGTAGTTTAAAGTAGTCTACGTGACCTATAAAGTGTTCAAACATTTTCCTTTGTCTAATTTACACCATATTCGTCTGTTTTTAGGCCTCCTACCGCGTAAATACATTTACTTCAACTTGATTGATAATAGATTTAATCCAAATACACTGCCTTTCAGTCCATAAATACGTTAGCTGCATTTTGATCGAATCGAATATCAAACAAATCGAAGAGAATTTTATTACGCCCTGACGATTCTCAGTACTTATGCAGTCATGGTCCTAAACTTTTTCGTCCTTCTCCAACTCCATATAAGCACTTGTTTAAGAAAAGGTATGTTTTTATTCCTAATCGCTGTTTTCAATAATGGTTTTGTTGGTACAGTAATATTCCAAAGTATTTCATAATTGTTATAGATACACACGAATTAGTATCTGGAAAAACGGCAGTGTGTGTTACTCTTTTTTTCTTAAAACATCTTCGTAAAATCTAAACCACTCGTTCAATTTCTTTAGCGTAAAATACATTTTTTATTTACTTTTTTTTTTACTGTGAGCATTTTTATCAATAAGAATAAGAAACTTATTATATAAATTCCAAAAGGCGGACAAAAATATAGAATACGCTTTTAAAAAGTTTTTTTTTTTTTTCTGGCTACATTTTAGTACATAGATTTATGCCAACGGGAACCTTTTTTACAGATTTTTGAAGGTTCAACTTTTCATTAGCAAACTTTCATTTGTCTCTTGACAGTGTTTGCTAAAATATGCGCTCTTATCAGTAAATTATTAAATAAAGAATTACACATTCATGTGATAGAAATATATTTATTGAATTATGTTTCAATATTTTTGTAGATATCTAAGTTTATGCTAATGTTAATATACTCCATATATAAAATGGCTTTGTAAATGTTATCATCTTCCGAGCATAGACGTGTTTATGATGTAATCATTCTATATTCCAAATCTAGATTATTCTTAATGAATTTATAGTAGTGAAAGTAACAATATTTAATGATCATTTTTAATAATTATTTGGAAAAGTGAAATTGACAACAAATCGAAAAATAATTATAGTTATTTAAGCGATTTTATTTACATACTTTACTTAGCAGCTTTTTTATAGAAAAAATATTAAAATAATGTTTATCTATATGAGGAAATGGGTGCTGACGTTAAGCAATTCTCGTTTAGTCTGGCTATCGGATCTGGATGTCAGAGAAATCTCACTCAAAAATAGCCCATTTGTAAGTTTATAATTTTTCATTATTATCTCTATCATTTGAATTTAAATTGGACACTTTATACGAATCGATTGTTGTTCATCGAATTTTGAATAAAAATTGCTCAAAAATAACATTAATATTGACTGATTATCTTGTATGATACCCAGGTAAAGACAAAATACCCACATCGAAACAATAACATTATGCGACTAACGTGAAAATGTTTAAGAGTTGGCCCCTGGAACAGAGAAATATGCGTACAAAATTATAATGTAATCAAGTCGTTTGCTTAGAGCGCGTATCTTGATTTTAGTGATCGTATAAATTTATTCTTTTCGTGTCATTGTTTCTGAAAGTCACGTGATATTTTAATTTATCTTATATAATTCTTACCACTTCTTTTCAAACACTTTTTCGTGAGATTTTATTTAAAAATAGAATTAAGATCTGTATCTATAGAAAAACGGATAAAATTTATATTGTTTGTAACTTTAACATTCAAATACCATGTTTTAACGTAATCTAAATTTTACGAAACTATAATTAATCTTGTGTATAAAAGTGGTACTTAGTAAATTTATAGTTTCTGTAGAATTTAAAGTGTAATAAAAATAAACAGGTAGTGAATCTGGTAGAATCTCTCCCTGATCTGCAACAGATTTCGTTTCACTCCCGTGTGATCTCCTGAACATCCATCGTGGTATAACTTGAGCTGGTATATCTGGTATATTTTAGGCACAATTATCTGCACGTGACAGTTATTTCCCCGTGAATTTTCTCATTTAAGGCACTGTATTTCGTCTTGTATAACCAGGCTATCCCATTGTGCCCAATAACTTTTTGTGACTGGGCTCATTGCAGCCACTTTACTCCATTTAGGCCCCGGTGAATTAGCCTTATAACACTCGACAATTGGTCGTAAATCCTTGTCATCTTCTTGCGCCTTCGATAGAGAATCCCTCCATTCCTCACTGAATCCGTCCTTAACAACCTTACGTGCCTGGCTCCTTCGCTTCTTGTTTGGTACAGTGTTTGCAGCTTTCAACACAAGGTCTCCTCGAGACTTGCAACTTGTTCTATTACGAACACAATCCATCTGGCCACCTGTCCCTCTAGATTCCTTAAATGTAATAGCCATTTCATCGCTTGATCTTTCGAAGATTAAACTTACGTTCTAGTAGGTATTTCTTAAAATGCTGCAATGTTATTACCACAATTAGAAGTTCTCTTCTTGTGACGCAGTAGTTCTTTTCTGGCTTGGGTGATGCTTTACTGAAGTAGACTTATCACAACCACGTAGTTTCCTTTGCGCTTCGATAAAACACCCCCGATTCCAGTGATGAATTAATTCTCCGCATCTGGATATCCCAAAACAGGAGCATTACACAATTACTGCTTCGATTCCTGAAATGCTACGTCACAGATCTAATCTCAGCAGAAGTTTCGGTTTTCTTCTGGTTAGGTTGAGATTTGGCACCATCTGCAAAGTTTTCCACGAACCATCAGAAGTACGAGTATTTTTCGGGGCTGGCCAGTCTTTGATGCCGACTATCTTAGTCGGGGCATGTGCATGTGAAATGAAATTCTTGGGGCTTTTTGAACACTACCCAGCACCCACCCCAGAGTCCTGGCATTTATTCGTTTCCCTGCTACTGTCGACCGTCCTATACACCGTCGTTCTATCTTTACTCCCGCTTTTACTTACTCAAGGGTAGTTCATTCAAGGATGATTCCTTATGCTTTCCAGACGAATTTCTCAATCTCCAGAGCTCACTGCTGAAGATTTCACCTCTCCGCTGGACTCGGTCCTTTATTTGAACTCGAAACACATATTTTAGGTGCTCGTCAACATATCGTACTTCCAGTGCTTCCATCAATTTGTCGTAGGTCAATTTGTCGTCTTTAGCTATTGTCCCCAGGACAGTCAAAGCTGAATCGCGTAGACTAAGTGCTAGTGCAGTCCGTGTTTGCTTCTTAGTCCAGCCATTTGCTTCCATGATCGTGTGGAACTGGATTTTATAAGCAGACCATGATGACGCTCCATCGAACGGAGGTATTATAAATCCGCCAGGTGCAGATCTCGATAAAACCGGCCAAATGTGTGTCGGATTGGGCATTAATAGTGTGTAAGCGTCTCTGAGTCGTATTCCCAACTCGCAGTGGGACCCACCTTGCAAGGGGTGGGCCTAAACCTCGTGGATGCGTGCTGAGGAAGCGTATGCAGGAATGCATTTCCCATCGTAAAAAAGGCGTTGTCTGCAAAGACACATGTTACTAAGGTTTACAAAGTTTTTATTACAGATAAAAAGGAAAGTAAACAAGCTTTTCTATGCCTAATAATAGTAAATAGAATTCTTCTGTGTAAGACATTACATGCTGTTTGATTTAATTACATGAAATATTTAATATCATTATTGGTTTATTATCTTCTTTATTAGAGAAGGAAATATTAAATAATTTAGTAAATATAACAAACGGCTATAGTAGGTAAGCTTTCAAACAACAGTATCTATGATAGAGTCAATATTATTCAATTGCGATCAAATTTCCACCCTACGACAGCACAGCAGACCGCATTTTCACTATTATAAATCAGTATCATACTTGCGGTTATTATTGACGGTGATACATAAATAGAGCTTAATGTGTAACGCTTTAAGTCGAATATCGATCAGTTGTGGACAAATTTTGAGATGCTCTCTTGCTGTAAATATGTTTGAAACTTAGTGCGGTAGTTATAAGAATGTTTGTTGCTTGTTACGGATAGATCATGGAACAATTAGATTCCGCCGAGAGGCAACGTCGCGAAACGCGACCACGTTGCCATATAAAAGGAAGTTTTGTTTAAATTTCTTCATCACACACCTTCTGGTTGTAATCGCGTTCGGTCAGTCCGTCATAGACTACTTTTTACTATGTCTGCAAAGATTTTGGTGAGTAACATATATTTATATACACATATATTATACTAACACAATAATTAATTTAGTAATTCAATAATTATCGGAATAAAATACAAATACAGATGTCTTGCTAATGTGAAATACTATATTCATATCCAAATACAAAACTCCTTTTTTATTTATGTTAGGTTAGGTTATATGAGGTTTGGCAATATTTTTAAAATTTCTCCTTCAGATCTATAGTACACAACCTCCAAGGAATGTTACGACAGAGCCTTTTTTGAATGAAAAAAAATAAAACTGCAAACGAGAGCACGCAATACTTACGATAGAATTTGTTTCTCAACTTCTTTCTTGATTACTTCTCATGAAAAAGCATTAATTGTTTTTAGTATTAGATGAACTTATGACTACTTTAGTCATAGAAAAAGTAGTTTACGTTGTACAGTTGAAGATATTAGACCCGCAAATAAAAAAAAAGTGCAGTGAACGGCGTTCATTTTTAACGTCATAGAATAGATTTGAAAGCGTCAAGTTAAGGTAAGAACAGCAGTTAAAATTACAAGCTCAAACATAAAGTTAGAGGCAGCATTAGAGGTTAAACCAAATAAAACCTTCTATAAAAGACAATAAAGCTTTTATTTGATTGAATCTATTTCTGTGACAGCGATATGTTTGATGCTTCGTTTGGTGTATATATTTTAGTGTATTATTACTGGTTGGAGTCTTTGCCCATCTAAAGTTTTCCAAAATTAAGGTCTATGGTTTGTGTGATCTAAACATATTGTCATTTGGGTTTCAAATTATAATGAATAAAAATATTTGTACAGTTACATTATTTGTTGATGCACTAGTATGTAATAACTTAATATTATTTCAGCGTATTCCGATACTAAAAAAAGAACCCCGCAGTAGGAACTTATACCGATAGGTGAATGTTTTGTGTTCATCGTATGTAATATTAATATTTTATAAAGATTTTATTGTCGTTATGTAATTTAATGCGAAGCGAGTTGCTATTGCGAGTTTACTAGTGTTTTTCGTAATGTATTTATTTTTGGTTTACTGGGAGCTGTAAGTTCTATGAAGACCAATATTAAACATAGCATATGATTAATTATAAATTTAATAGATTATTTATGAATTCCCTATAATGATGATTTTATTTTATTAGAAAATAGAATAGTATTTCCTTATTAAACCAATCCGACAAACAAAAGTAATTCATCCAATGGGCATATTGAGAGACTAATGAAGACTACCCGTGCTATTTCATGTTCATATTGTTGTTTATATTGAAAATATCTCACAGACTTGTAACACAAATTTATAAAAAAATACGATGATACGATGAAAGTAAACAAGAAGGATGTTAATCAACTTTATTCTGAGGCAATAGATAACATTGATCTGAGAGAAAGAGTTTTTCAATAATATTTAGTTGTCATATTTGTATGTAATATACCATTGCTGACAAAATTTACGTCTTCTTACGAAATTTTTAAAAGTATCTTTTCTTTAATTCCAGCTGGTACTTGTCTGCGCGGCGGAGCTATCGACGCTCATTATGGCAGGTGGCCACGGCGGTGGTCACAAAAAGGTCATCATTCACGTGCCCCTGTTCGTTAAGCACCATCACCATAAACACACGATCGTGAAACATGTCCACCACAAGAGCGGCGGTGGTGGCGGTGATGATCATTACGAAGTTCTAGGATACACTTATGGCGAGCCTAAAGCAGCACCACATTTCGGAGGAGGTATGTTGAAATCTAAGCTTCCTATTTTCTTATTCTCATTAATAACACTCTTGCCAAAGTGGTCGAGGCAGTACGCAGTATCTTCTGTAGTGATGATGTAGCTCGCCTCACGACAACTCTCCCTGTCTTTTGACGTCCTCGAGCACTTGTGTATAGGCGTACATACCATGGACTTTATTTGGTCGGTCTATCGCATCGGTGATGGCCCGCGTGCTCTAGTCCCTTCTACCCTTCATTGGAAGACGAGACGTTCTATGGAATCATTGCTTCGCTTTGAAATGTTGCCGAATAATTTAAGGAAACGAGTCTTTACAATATTAGATAGACGCTATTTGATTCTAAGTTGCTTCTGTATGGAGACATTGGTACGAAATTATTTCCAAGATATCCCAAGAATTCGTTTCCAACACTACATATCTAGGGCATATTTCTTCCTTTTCACAATATTCCGCAACGTCCAAGTTTCCGTAGCATATGAAAATATGGAAGTGTGAGTGTGCGAAAGCTTCAATAGTCAGCTATCATTACCAGCCTTTTAATGTCCCCACCATAGCGATAGAGCCCTACCTTGTGGATGGAATCGAATCGAATAGGGATAATAGCCCATTTTGAATTGGTGAGTTTTAATCACTGAAGATGCAGTCGGAGCCAGCGGCTTAACGTGCCTTCCAAACCAAGGAGGACCTCGAGTTAATATCTTTTTTGGTCTTACTAGCTGCTTTTATAACAAAGGTGATGTAGCCGTAAAACCGGCGAGTATCTATGAAAATAGTCATGAAAGTGTATGAGGTGAAAGATGTATGTAAGGACCGTACATTGTGGCGTTCGGTCCTCTCTGCCTACCCTGCAAGGGATACGACGTGAAGATATAGGTAGTAGATAAACTGTTACCTGTACCGTGTGACGTATTAAAGGAAAAAACATAATGTGAGAAACTCAAATATATATTTATAAATTGATTTACAATAAATAGTTTATAAGTTGTTTAAGAAAAAATATACTGAGCTTAAACTTATGAAAAAGAAAAAAAAATCGCCTATATGAAAAATTAGAATTTTTAAAATAATGTTATAATTATTGAGTTCAAGATGCAAAAATATATTTTTGACAATTTACTGAGAAATGAACATCCTTCTTTAGGAAATGATATAAATAAGCATTGTATGAGAAAGATAAAGACAGAAAATTTCCGCACTCCTCCATTTTTAAAGCAAAATCGAATTTATGCTTTTAAATACATTTTTGATTTTGTTATCGACAGTGGAGCATAAATTGTATAATTGTTAATGAAAGATTAAACATTATTCAAAAATTTATATATTTACAACCACTTTGATGTAACTACAAACGTATAGTAGGTAGACAGCAATAATAGACAATTCATAAAATTTTACAATTTAAAAAGTCACTTATCTGAAGAGGCTGGCAAAAAGACTTTCAATTTTTTATTCGATAGAAAAAAGATAATGTTGTGATTGCTAAAGGTATTTCATAATAAGAATTATGAATGATATTTTACAAAACTGTCGTCTACATATTTCAGACTCCTTTATAGGCTCTTAGTTGTAGTGTTATGTTGTAGTAGGAATCTAAAACGATGAAAAAGAAATTATACACGCAATAAATCCGTTTTAAGACGTTTAATTAAATTAACAGGGTGCGTGAAAATATAAAAAAGTATTAGAAGAAATTCTGAACAATCATTTATCTGGTTTTTTTAGTGATTCCTTTTTTTCTGAATACTAAATAAGTACGTCTATGTAACCAATAAACTTAAAATGGTATTTTTTTTTATTAAATTGGAGGCTAGGCAGCTGATTCTAATAGAATTTATTCTTGTTTTAGGTCACGGCTGGGGCGCTTCTGATGTTGGCCACGATGGTGGTTACGGGGAATCTCCCGTGAGCTTCGAAGGTGCCCAAGCAGACTACGGTCTCTCAGCATCTGGTGGGGAATATGGATCTGAAGGAGGCCTTCATTAAGAGTATTAGGAATGTGACGAAACATATAGTCTTCCGTATTTAGATCTATTTCAAGTCACTACAGAATATTTTACTAACGACTTTTAAATTCTAAGACACTCAAAAATCAATTTAGTAAGCAAATAATAAAAGAGCCCATAAATGTGATACAATTCTCCATTCATACACTCATCAACATTGTAACTCTACAAGAGAATTGATCACTTTTACAGTTAACAAGAAACGGGATTGTTGTTATGTAACTCTAAGACAAATAGATAAAAATCTTTATAAAGATAGGCACTTATAACATTGTTTAGGTACTTAAGTACAAGGTATTGTAACTAGAGGCAATATTGTTATGATTGCGACTTTCGTATAAGTACAAATAAAATATCTACCTGTTTTCATCGATCGAAACGCATTTACCTTCAAACCGTTACTTCAAATAGATACTTCGTTATCTTTAATCGTCGTCCTAATTGTCTGCGATTGTCGTATGAGATTAAATACACAATAATATTATATAGTGCGATCGTGCAATTAAAACAAAATCACGCAACTGGAACGAGTTATTATCGCGCGATGGGCATCGTACGATCTTTTCGCCGACAATAGGGATACCCCTTAAACTGTACCCTCAATTGTGATAGTATATTATATCGATTCGTAATAGATTTGCAGATGATGTTTTTGTTATGTTTGTAAATATGTATTGTTATTATTAATGTTAACTGTACAAATGCATTAATGTTTAGTGAGACTGTTGTGAATTTTATCCCGGTTAAACAGGGAATTTGTTGTTTTATTGTTATTAATGTTATAAATATGTGTAAGTTAAACATTTTTACATGCCTACTTGTCTTTTATTTTTAAAACCTTTTTAGCCAATAACCTAAACTAAGGTTATATTAACCAGAAACATCAGAATACCATAGCGATTCACAAATCTGTCTATAATTTTTGCCAACTTGCAACAAACAAAAAAATTATACCCAGACAAATAAGTAACGCTACTCACATAATTTTTATAGTCAAGGTGCGGTGCAAGGCGCCCTCATATCAATATCATATTGGTTGCGAGACTCCAGCACCCTGAATCTCGCTCCATCTTTTAATCTCTCTAGATATTGAAATCACAGCTGGAAGTTTTGTAGGTTGGTTCACATGCCTTATCGATATTTCAAACATTTCTTGTTTCCGTTCATTTTGCAATTAAACCTGGATTTGACACATAAATATTCATATTTCAAGAAATTGCACAAACTTAGTAGTTAGTTCACAGTCTTGTTATCTAAAATATCAATAATTAATTATCTAGTAATAGTTAGTAACAACTAACATCTATAATAAATTAGTTTGTTATAAATTCTTAAAAAAATATATATTGAAAGTTGCATTAACTGCAACCAAGTGCTTTTCGGTTACTGCGATTTGTTAATTTTTCACAGTAGCGTCAACTAAAGTTGCTACGTCCTTGCAGTGCCTAAATTTTATCTACTGAATAAAGTGTATCAACCTGGTCTGTAGCAAAAAGTAAAACCACTTTCTTCCGTCGTACTTGTACAGTCTTTTTTTTTTCATTTCTGCGTACCGTTGCCGACTAGAATCGATTATCTTTTTTTACTTCTTAATTCCATTAAAAATAATGTTTGGAATGGGTTGTTAATATTTATATCCGGATATGACAGTGAGTTAGTATTAGATAATTACATACGACAGTTCGCATTATTTTTATTTATTTTTAGTAGTTGATCTACTAAGTACTGACGTAATAGATTGGGATAGTATAAGATATGTAAATCTCTTTAAATAGATCTTTATAAAGCATATTATGCAACCAGTTGCGTAGTCTAATTTTTATCAATAATTAGAAGGTATTTATATGTGTTATAATAAGTAATGAATGATATAAGTAATAACTTAAATCTTAGTTAATAACGAAATTTGTAAGAAAGTTCCTACTCATTACAAAACTGTGTTTTTGTCTTACTCGTATAGGTATATCTCTAAGTATATATTGATGTGTACATTAGACAGAAGGCAAATATAATATCTTCACAGGAGGCAAATATTTATACAGCACCAGATCATTAATATTCCCATTGCTGGGGTTCAAGCTTCCTTTATGGTGTGAATAGAATTATATCCAATAGAAAGAGTAGGCCATGACTCACCACGCGGGCCCATTGCGATAGCTCGGTGTTAACGACTGCAGATGCAGCTGGGACTAACAACGGCTTAACGTGCCTAACGAAGCACGGAGGAGATCAAAATAATAAATTTTTGGTCACCCATCCTATGAGCGGCCATTGTGAAAGTTGCTTAAGTATCGTAGATCGAGCGCGCAAACCACTGCGTCTCACTCGAGATCTCGATTTATACAGAACGTTACAAAAGTATTTATTATATTTTGAGGCACCAAACTATAGCGACGTACGACGATGGATGAGTACATGTTCCCACTACTGGGGAATATACTTTTCCTTTGGATTTAATCCTATGAGGAGAACAGGCCATAACCTACGAGGCACCAATTTGGATTGGTGGGTGTTAAAGATTGCAGGTGCAGCCGGAGTCAAAGGATAAACGTGCCTTTGAATATCTGAGAAGCTAAACATAAAAAATAGGTCACCAATCCTAATACTAACCTTTGTAAAAGTTGCTTCGCATCTTAGATCGAAAGCGCTAACCTCTGCGTCATCAAGTTTCTCTAAAAGATACATTATCCCGTCTTATATTTGAATCGTCTCAGTCTGTATTATCGCGTAATAGCTTTATGTAATGCATGAAATAGTGAGTGGTGGACCGGTAATACTTTTTTTTGTCTTTTTTTCATACCGTAGATATACGTGAACAAACTGAGTGGATAGAATCAGCTATTTGTAATAAAATACTCTTAAACTTACATTCGAACAAAGTAGATTAGGTTTTTTTAATCGATTTCAGAAAAGGAATACATAACCTAATCTTATACTCTTATGTGTGTTCGCGTTGTCTTGTAAAGTAAATTTGCCATGGATATTCACCAAAGCAAGCCTTAATTAATAATATGTATATTCTTAATATATTATCATATCACCGAAGTAGTTAAATGAAATATAACATTTTAGATCGGATTGAACTATATTGCAGTGCGCGAACAACTCAAAGTAATCATTTGAGCAGGGATTTGTAATCGGGTTGTTTATTCATCGTCTGCCGTAGACGGTTTGCAAGTATTCGATGGCGGGGCGGATTTGATGTAGTCAGATCATATCTATAGAAATTTGTTTAAAAAATACTAACCTCTCGAGGAAAGGTGCTGCTTAATAGCGCTGATATATTAAAAGATTTCACCAACGGTTGAAAGGCTGATTTATTATAGACCAAAGAATATGTCATCATCACATCACTAGTATATTAATATCAACACTACTTCTCCAGCATATGCCGTCCCTATGGATTGAATTGAATGGGGAGTGAATGACCCAGTGCAGATTGATGGATGTTAACGCCTGCAAATGCAGCCGGGATCAATTACTTAACGTGTCTACACGGAAGTGCCCGGGATGCTAATTTTTTTATGACCCATATTATGACCGACCCTTACAAAAGTTGCTTAACTGTCTTATGGCAGCTTGATCGTGTTAATCACTGTGTGATCCAGTGCATCAAGTTGAAATATCTTAGTTCTGATGTTCTTCCGTACAAATACTTCATTAATATTTTAGTACAGTCTGTGGACTATAAAGTCGATTTGTGCATTTTACAGAAGAGAGTTTTGATTTCTTTTTCATAAATCATACTTTATAATAAATCCACTGTAATTTATTTTGTCGAATAAATGCAGTGTGCGAAAAGATAAATACAGAAGTTCTTTAGTTTATTTGTTTTTCCAAAATAGTTCATTTTACGAAATCGATAAGGCTAACGTCCCTGATATTTCAGCACTGTTGCAAGGTACTCCATGATGATGGCACCAGTGCTGAAATATCATTAAAATATGTTTGAAATACGTTTTTGGATTAGTCGGTATTTAAAAAGTTTATTGGTAGAACAATAATTTGATGAATTTCACGAAATAGTTGCAAAACAAAAAACCTCCATGAATACGACCTACTTATATCACCACTACATTCATTCATATTAGCTAGTATCTGGGTCCCTTTTTGTCATTGTATGATGCAACGATTCCAATTTAAGTGTTATATCACATACAATTTTGATATCAACATGGTGTATATACTTACGTCAATCTGCTTCCATAACATTGTCTACAATAAGTAGACCTGATAAATTGACTATAATAATAAAAAAGAAATCATTCTATCACCCACTGCTTACACCATTGAGAAGGCGTTACGTAATAGTTCGCCCGCAATTCTTTCATTGTCTGTCCGCTTGTTTTACAGTTACGTCGTCATTGGATGTGGTTTATTTTTCAATGTTTGTGCAATTTGCGAACTAGGCCGTGTCTAATTGTGGTTCCGTATCACTTTGCATTTTGATTTATCCAAATTATATCTATCCATATTGACGATGACATAAACTGAAAGTAAATAATATTTTTTGAGATGTAAATCAGTGAAAGTGACGTCGATCATGTAGTACGACCATTTTTTGGAAGTTATCCTCAAACGTTAAATATATATCCAGCGACTTTTCCAGTAATTTTATAAAAACGATTACACCAAATTTTGATATCTCACGGAGGATGGGTTTATGGTGAACGCCTCATATAATATTATATTTGTTAGTTAAATATATTGGCTACCCTCACTGATTTAGTATAATTATTTTCGTGAAGATAATATTAAGTAATGATAAATAAATCACAACTTAAATCAACTAACAAAATGATACTACAATTTGTATGAGGAGATGATGATATCATTTTCTGCAAAGAAGTTGTAACAATTGATAAAATATTTTATTAACTTTTCATTACAACTACAAAAAATCAACAACTTTTATAAATATAAAATACAGAGAAGATCGTTCATTTTCACATAAGAATTCTCTGTTTAACATATACCTAGGTTTTGTTCTAATGGCTTCTTTATATTAGGGTAAAAATGTTTAATTGTTTAATAGAAAAATAACACATTATATTACGAATAACATGACAGGTACTCCATTATTTATAAAACTATCATATTATGTAAAAGCACATATAAAAATACTTATCAGTCAATCTATATTACATCAGTCATTAGTACTCAATAGTTTCAACAGCGCCCGTTTTAAAAGTTTGTTGGATTCCTGCCTCCCTATTGAATGTTACAGGTGTATCATCTGCTTCATGATCTGTAGCCGCAAATGCACTCCCAGTAGATCCAACAAACGAAGTAGGCGAAAGGTCATCACTATGGACATCTGATTGGAACGTCACTGAAAATTCTGGTGATGGCTGAACACTCGGCAGACCAGAACTCTGATCCGGTGCTGAAGAGGAGAATGGTATAGTTTGAACTGTACCAGTAAACGGTTCGATATTATTAAGACTTAATGTAGGTTGTGGATTGGTAGAGAATGGGTCATGTGATTGCACTGAAGCAATACCTGCTACACCTGCCACTTGAGGTGTGGGCTCTGCAAACGGATCGTGTGTAGATGCTGCTCCTCTTACAAATCCAAAAGTGGACGGGTAAGTTTGGTGTAGGGTATTTACAGACGTAAAGGAATCTTCGTCATCTTCAGCTTCTGTCACTTCATATCCAGGGTTGGCAGCTGGTTTGCCAGCCGCCGATGGTAACGCACCTGGCAACGAGTCGAATACATTCACTTGTTTTACTGTATGAGAAACACCATGTACTCGAGGTTGTTGTGGATTAATATTCCCTGTATAAACGGGAGCCGCTGGTGCAAAAGATGCAAAATCTTCTTCAAAGGTGCTTGAAGGCGGAGAGTAATTGTATGAAGGTGGATCGTAATTGGCAGACGGTGGATTATAATTATACGATGGTGGTTCATAGTTGACAGTAGGTGTTTCAAAATGAGGTACGGGGTCGTGGTGAGCGTGATGCCCACGATAACCATGATGGCCGTGATGTCCGTGATGTCCATGGTGTGCATGGGGTTTTTGTTTGCCTTTAGTGACCGTCTTGATCGTTGTGTGCAGTTTTTTGTGATGCTTATGATAATGGTGCCCATACGGAATATGTGGCTTATGGTGATGATGGTGATGGTGATGATGATGCTCTTTCTTTGGTTTGTGATGATGGTGGTGGATCGTTATCACTTTTGTGTGGTGATCGTGGTGAATGAACTCCGGCATATGCAGCCTGACGTGATCACTGTAAATTATAAACAAAGCTTTAATATACCCCTGTTCAATCTTAAGAAACTACAACAAAGAAAGGGTAATAGTACTGTCAGATACAAGTTTGCCGTAATGAATCGCAATAAACTTCGCATTAAGCTTTGAGCTTAATTCTTTAAAAGCTTTGCATGCTATATTCATTTATACTAAAACATTTATATTAGCAGGGAAAAAAAAATTACGTCAAATTGCATTATTTTAGATTCTATTATAAATATTCGCATTGCTTTTCACATTACAAAATTATTGTAGGCATAGGTATCACTAAAACTTCTTACTGATGATCTCCGCCGTGACCTCCTGTGTCGCCATCCTGTATAAGAAACACCACTAACACACTCAAATATTTTACCAAATTCATTTTTAATGTCTAACCAAATCTCAACACACTGTCCACAATTATAGTCCGTTTGTATGAAACTTTTTAGAAACAATGATAGTAACATCTAGTCTCTGAATATCACATATCGTTTTACATCACAGTACTTATACGAATATTTCTTCTTGTTTGTTTACTTTTATTTTCAGTACATCGGAGCAGGTATCACCAGAGCGGTCGCCACAGCGCCGCACGACTCGGAATTGAACGGCGAAACATAGTGAGATGACCATTTATCCAATTTCACTTAAATAAACCCGTAATATCAGCAAAAAGACAACGAACTTCCATTGTCAGCGGAGCATGCTAAATGGCGTACCGAACATAATAAGTCGCTCGATTGTCAATCTAATTACAAACAGCGCAGAGTTCGGAACAAAAAATTGATATAGTTGTGTTACAGTTTTTTCATCTCTGCGTGAAATAACTATTTCGTCGCCACGACTAGTGCTACTCGAGTTGGGATTGATGCTGTAACACGGATAAATTCACAATCAGCTGATAGGTCATTCATACGTACTACATACTAACAGACAGCAAACAAGAAATTGATTTTTTCTTCAATAATCCTCCTTTTGAGTGTTTAAAGGTCTGCTTCGTAATTATTAGGTATCAGATTTATGACTGGAACAAGCTACGGTTCCAATAATCAAAGTCAATAAAAAACAAAAAGTGATGTGGCGCAATGAGACTCCGCGGGAAAATAAACTTTATTTCTACGGAAGTTAAGAAGAGGAGATGACTCGCTAGTGAAGATGCACACTTAACGATAGGCAATACTGTTGGCGTCCAATAAATAAACCTTGTAGGCGTCAGAATGCGACCGTAAATATTTTAAAGTGTAAACGGGAACCATTAAAATTTAATTATTCGTTCCATTCCGATTTATTGATTTCCCTCGGGAAACATTCTTTTAAATTCTAAACTATATCTATTATTTATGTCGGGGCGATACCTCACTAACTATAACGGTTATGTAGGTAAGGGTTCTATTCTCTATGCACAATAATGAATATTTTTTTCTCGAAATCTCTTCAAAGTCCTCTTAAAATCTGCCATTGTAATTGTAAGTTATAGATTATTTCCAAATTTAAAAAGGCGATTCACCTCGATACTCTGTAATATATGTAATTTGTGTCTTAAAAATACTTTACTGTTATTTTTTAAGTTTTAGATTCCGTTTACCGACCCCAAACTTTATAAACTTCGAGAGTAGACCCCTCAGCCGTAAAAGATGGTTGATGTATTACTAATCGATAGGGATATGTTTTATGTATTTAGTGTCTTAAATTCATCAAATCCACGTAACGACGTCTATAAACGATAGTTTGTTAACGTTACTTGTTGCGATAACCATTAAAAAAAACTAAGCTTAACGGTGTTGATATGGCACTTGTATCTATAGCCGACTTCACAACAGGAAGTTATGAATTCGACTCAAGTCTGTACGTATAAACAAAAGACTATTCCTATCTCAATGTGCTAGTCCTGAAAGAGGAAAGTACAGAGGATGGCGAATTGTGCATGAAAACGTTTTTTAAATTAGTTACTTGTAAATCGTAAAGGTTACAAAGTGAATCACATTTTTATCAATGTTCCTTACAATAAAAGAGTATAATTATAAAGGGAAAGGAAAATTGTTGAATTTTAAAGGTAATTGTGTATTATTTTTATATAAATTCATGTTTTAGGCCTTACCATTGATTAAGTAATATATTCTTATAATTTAAAGAATATTTTCAGTATAGGACCGTGAATGCAAAATTGTTCAAATATAATAATAAGAACAATTTTTGATCTTTATCAAGTTTAAATTTTTTTCGGCTGTTTGAGTGGATTGCCTGTACATTGATAAAAATACGCTCTGTTACTTTTTCGTAACAAGTGCTTGGAAAATTCGCCAGTCTTGGTAGTTCCTGGGTAGCTCAGTGGTTAGAGCAGTCGCCCGGATTACGAAAGGTCATGGGTTCGTCCAATCTTCGAGTGCCATGGCCAAAATTGATTTTTTAAGCATTTTTCATTAGGGATATTTTTCAGTGTAGCATTGTGAATGCTCCCTTAATCTTTTTTTGTGTAAATTCACCGATTTCTTCGTCAATAGTGGACTAATTTTGATGAATCCTTTTTATATCATTAAGAAAATTTACTAGGTGAAATCAGCAGACCATACCAAATTAATAAATACCGCCACGCCGACTATATTGTATTGTCATTATGCTCGACGTATTGTCAATTTGATGTGAAGGAAACGATGATTTTATGTGAGAATGTAATCACCTGATGTAATGTAATGAGAGTCAGCTGAGTATGTAGAGATACTAAATTGTTAAATTTTTCTAAAAAACTAAAACCCTTATCAAAAATTGATAATAATTATTAATAACTGCAGAAGCAATTTACAAATTCTTGAAACTACATAACTCATGCTTAATTATCACATACTATATTATCATGCTTTTTAAAATGGATTTTTATCCAACTAACACTTTTCCCGCGACTTCGCTTGCGTTAGTTATAATCTTATGTCCCCCTCATATATTTCTTATATGAATTACTTTTTTCTTTCATTTAATATGAGAAACCTGTTATCATTTATCACCTAAATTTATAAAATAATAATGTATGCATGTATTTATTATATTTAATTCTTTCAAAATAATGAATTAGGTACTACTAATTTTATTATATCTAATTTGCTTTAATATCTGATTCTGCACATCTGACGGAAAATACTACGCGTCTCTTTACGAACGTGACGACGCCGACGGACAAATATAATATTATCCTAGCACACTAGCTGAATTAAAACTTGGTGCTAATCTGACTGAAGATCCATCAAGCTTCCAATACTATTATCGAGTATGCTTTAGTACGCATATGCATTATTATCATGTAGTAGTTGACCCGGTATACTTCGTATCACCTCTGACCATTTAAATCTTTCCTAGACTACGATATATATTTCAAAGCCAAAATCAGCAAAATCGGCCCAGCGATTCTCAAGTTTTAGCGACATAATCGTACAGCAATTGGTTTTTATTATCATTATCAGTATTAGTAACAGTTCAGACGTTCCGCAAAGTTTATGAAATTTCACAGCTATCGTAATTAATTCTAAGCGCTTTTTTATATGGTCTAATTTATATTTATATTTTACATTTAATAAGGCTAATCTAGGATATTTAAAATGTTATTAAATTACAACGACACTGTGTAATGATCTTATTCAAAGCCATATTTTCGAAAGATTTTAGGGCAATCGGAAATTTATTTTACGATAGTTTTTTCTCAATTAAATGATTGCTATTTTATGCACAGATAAGTGAGAAATTCACCCACACCTTTTAAATTATGAAAGTATGTTTTGTATATTACAAAAAGAAAGAACCATGGCAGTTTAAGAGCAAATGCACAATTTATTATTGAAAAAAGTTCGCAAATTCTCGCAAAGCAGCAAACTAAAAGTCTAATTACGGAAAAGATCAAAATTATTTATCAATAGGTATAAAAGCATAGGTTGACATTTATAATAAATGGGTGAATAAATAAAAGAAAATAAAATTGTCTTATTATATTTTAATACAACGCATATCACAACTTTTATCAATATAAATATTAATACCTTTAGATAAGCATAACATTTTATTTTCATAGCAATGAGATACTTCGATAATATCTGTTTTCGGCGTTTCTTTTCTTATTTCATTAAATTTGGACAATTAAATAAACTTGGTATAATAAAGTTATGAGAATACTCTCCTCATACCTTAATTTGATAACTTGGAATAATATTAATTATAGTTACTAATACAAATATTCGTAGCAAAGTTATAATTAAATTGTACTACTTAACTATATTTTTTCTAATCTTTAAATTTTTTATTATATATTAGATAAAAAGTTCTTAAGACGAGTATTCACATCGCGAGACTGCTCTTTTGAGCAGTAACCTCGGCCCCTCATCTAAACGGTCAAACATTGATTGCAGTCAGTTACACTAAAACGTCGAAGCGTCACTATGTAGCCGCGGATTTAAACGATTTACTTGCGTTTACAGTTGTTTCACACAAACAAATTATAAATATAATGATACGAGATGACCATACACATCATCTTCTTACAACTGAGCAGCTCACACTGAGCGCCTATGCATCAACGCCACCAGATTACAAACCTGGTGTTGCTCATGCGCAAGAACTTATAAATTTGCTCGTGAGGTGTTCCCCGCATTCACGCAATGTGGCTACACGTCTTTAGAATTACAACCAGCCCAAAGACAGACCTTTATTAATATTATAAAAATTGAGAAATTGAAAAGTTAAATCAAAGAAAATATTGATGTTGATCTTATGATAAAAATTATTAAAACCACACAAAATAAAAGTATTTTATTATGTATTATATAATGTGTATATTGTCATTATGTGATTTGTATATATATACAGATTATATATACTAGAAAGAAATGTTTGTCTCATTTTAGTAGGTAATTTTATTAACTAAATGAAATTTAACATTTTTGTTATAAAAAAAATTTGATGTAAACACAAAAAAGTTTAAATTAAGGTAATTAACAGTTAATAAGTCTTTGGTTTTAGTATTGGACATATAAGTATAAGTAACCAATACCTAAATTAGACATCTATATAAAATTTGTACAATCATTACAGTTTCTAGACATAATATGAACTGTTTTTTACTAAAAACATTTTTTTAAGTTAACTAGCAAGAAAATTTTCCTTAAATAAATACTTATTTGTAAGAACTCAATACAATAACATAAATTTAATTCGAAACTTTCTTATGGCTTTGTTATGAATTATAGTTAATTATTAATAGAATCTCTAATGTAGATGAAATACAATTTCTGATCAAGGCGATAATAAAGCGATCTGCATTCTTTTTAAATTGCTTTCCGTAACAAAAAATAATTTCAATAAAAACTATATGTTGATAAAGATAATCTTTCACATCAAATAACA